TATCAATTTTTCACATATTATTTATTGTTTTAAATGTTCGGTAGCCTTTACAGAATCTAGATTATTCTTATGAATTGTATATGTAAGGATGATTTATATTACTATTTTAGTAATTTGGAGTTGTGATCCAGGATATGTTGAGTTTATTGGCAAATGTGAGAGTTGTTCAAATAATTGTTTAAGTTGTTCACTTCCTTCGATGTGTGACACATGCTTGCCAAAATTTTATCGGTATACAGAAACAATTAATTTGGTATTTTCTTCAGTTACAGTCTCTAAATGTGGAGCTTGTAAAAATGGATGTGAAATTTGTAGCAATTCGAGTGATTGCTCTTTTTGCCTTCCAAAATTTTATTAAACTGGCTAAAATTGTTATGCTTGTCCAAATTAGTGTGCTACTTGTACAGATATCACTGTATTCAAGGCGCAAAAATATCTAAATTAATAATCTATCTTTAATTTTACATGAATAATATGTTAAACATGCATAGATCACCATTTTATATTCGGAACTACTTGTTCAGCTTGTGATACTTCTTGCAAGACATGTTCAGGTTCTAGTAGTACTTGTACATCATGTGATATTGGTAAATATCTTTCGAGTTCTCAATGTCTTCCTTGTTCATTCCCATGTTCTGCTTGTATCAACAATTCAAATGATTGTACTGATTGCATTAACATTGATAAAATAGCAGTTAATTTTTAATGTGTTTGTGAGGATGGATATTATAGTGATGGATCAAATTAATGTTAACTTTGTACGGCACCATGTTTAAAGTGTGAAAATAATCCTAATAATTGTACAGAATGCATCTCTACTTTTACATTAAGTTAGGATATCAATTATAAATGTTAGTGTGAATTTGGCTATTTTTCGGTTGATCCTCAAACATGTTAAAAATGTTAAAGTCCATGTTAAACTTGTGAATCAAATTAGAATCATTGTTTATCATGCGTTGATATTCATTAAATAATAACTGATTTGCATTAATGCATATGTAACACAGGTTGGATTTTTAATACAAATGGTATCACATGTATCAAGTGTTAATTATCATGTGATAGTTGTATAGATACAATCAATAAATGTGTAACATGTAAAGATCAAATACATTAATAACCTGAATCTTGTTAATGTGAATCTGGATGGATATTTGATGATAATTACTTCTGCATACCTTGTTTAGAACCATGTAAAACTTGTGAGATTTCTACATCTAAATGTTTGACTTGTACAAATGTTCATCAAGAACTTAATAATATATCATAATGCGTTTGCTAATCTACTTATTATTCTTAAGATTTAACAACATGTATAAAATGTGAATCCCCTTGTTTTGAATGTGATATAAATGGATGTATCAACTGCATAGATTTCAATCAAATCCTAGATTCCAATTAAAAGTGTATTTGTAAATCTGGATATCTCTAACAAAATTTTATTTGTCTTCAATGCTAAAATCCATGCGCTACATGTATTAATTATGTAAATAAATGTCTCACATGCGTGGATCCAAATTAAATAGTCCAAGATAATAAATGTTTCTGTAAAGAAGGGTTTGAATAAAAAGGAGATTTTTGTTGTGATAAATAATGTATAGATTGTCAAGGAATAGATAATTGTAATAATTGTGTAGAGGGATTTTATTTATCCATGATTAAATAATGTTTATAATGTATTGACCATTGTGATATTTGCTAAAATCAAATCAACTGCTAAGCTTGTTAGTAAGGATATTTCATTAATTAATCAACATAATGTGAATAATGTGTTCCTTTTTGTAAAATATGTGGCAATTCTTTAAATTGTGATATATGCTTCAATGGATATTATCTAACGGATTAGAAATGTGAGATATGTAATTAAAATTGTTTAACTTGTGTTGAATTCTCGGAAAAATGCATTTCTTGTAGATCAAATTATGAAATAAATTCTAATAATTAATGTATGTGTAAAATTGGATACTATGAAGAGTATAATCAATGTTATAGATGTGAATATCCATGTAAAACTTGTTTAAGTAAAACTGTTTGTTAAGAATGTGTACCTTTATCTAATTTACACTTAGATAAAAATTTTTAATGTAATTGTAGTCCAGGTTATTTCTGGAATTAAAATAGTTGTTCTTAATGTTATCAATTATGCTTAACATGTATTGGTAATTAATTTCATTGTTTGAGTTGTGAATAAAGACTAAATCGAATTTTAAATAATACAAAATGTATGTGTACTGATAATTATTTTGAAAGTGATGATGGAGTTTGTATTTCATGTTTGGATTAATTAGGTAAATCTTAAGTAAGTTGCAAATATTAAGATTGCAAAGATTAAATTTGGACATACGGAGAAGAATGTGATGATGGAAATGATGTAAATAGAGATGGATGTTCTAATTGTAAGATTGATCAGAATTACTCTTGTTCTAATAAAATATTAAAGTAATCAATTTGTTTTCAATGTTCAACTAATTGCATTTAATGCCAACTAAATATATAGACAAATAAACCTTTTTGTATAAAATGCTAAGTTGGCTATTTCTTAGATAAAAATGATTGTGTTGAATGTTCAATCAATTGTTTGGAATGTATTGATTAGGCTTATAATTGTATAAGTTGTAAGTTTTCATAATAGAAGAATCATAAATGTTAAGTCTGTGAATCAGGATATTATGCAGATGAAATAAATGGAACTTGTTTAAGTAAATGTGGAGATTAAATCAAAATAAAGGAAGAGGAATGTGATGATGGAAATCTTGTAAAAGGTGATGGATGTGATGATTAATGTAGATTAGAAAATAAATATATATTTCTGAAAGGTGTAAGTATCATACCGAATTTCCCAAAGCCATTATTATAGAGCATAGGCACTTCTTAGATTTATTCAAGTATCAGACTATTTAAATTATCTTATACAAATCATATTGTTATAACTGATGGTTTTTAAATTAAAGATTATATATCTTTGCATATCTCAAACAAACATGGTATTTTATAAATTGATCAGTTCTTTCAATTAACTCAAGATACTTTTTAGATTAATGAATTTAATTAATCTGAATTAAATTTGGTAATAAATATCACATTCTCTAGAAGTTCTTAAGATGAAATCCTACTGATCAAATTCTTAAATACCTCAATCATTTACTCAATTGAAGGATACTCTCAGGTTGTAACTGAAGTCTCTTGTCTTATACCTAAGGTAACACACATAGATAATGTCATCATTGCTCAAGTGTAATTAACTACCAAGAGTAATTCCTATATACTTTACTTTATTGGAGCAATGTGTGGAGGATCAGTGTTATTTGGAGGAGTAGAAGTCTTTTTTAATTTGTTGGATTCTCTATAAGTGCTATCTTACTTGAAATACCTTAACACTTAATTTCCGTATAATTTATAAACCTACTTTCAACTTTTTGAATTTGCTTAATTTAACTTTATCTAAAAGATCTTTGATTTCTCAGGATTGATAGATCAAATATTGCATGCAAACAATTTAAAATAGTTACCAACTAAAGTAGCAAATGATGGTATTCCATCACTATTTATTATTAATTCTGCAACAATTACTACGGTTTGGATTTCTCTATTTGGTATTTATTTAGTTGCAAAAGTAATACCTAAAATTCTATATTAAATTAAGTGTAAATTTTATTCTGAAAATTAAACTTAAAATTCTTTGCTTGTCTAAATTGGAGTATATTATTTAACTCTTAAGTATTTCATTAATAGATTGTGCTTTAATATTATTTCAGAATTCTTTTGGAGTGGAATTTTACGTGCTCATATGACTACTGCCTATGATTTTACTTTCAGTTTAGCACTGTAATTTTATACCTTAGAACTTAACTCGCCAAATATTTTTATTAGGTTGAGTTCATTAATAGCTTGTGTGGCAAGTGTGATATATATATTTAGCCTCTATTTTGTAATAAAACTATCTTAGATGAAGAAATATGCTCTGAATAATAAAGTCATCTAAACTAAGTATGGTTCTATTTTCAATGGAATTAAGATAAATCGATTTTCTAAATATCTTAATACAATACTTTTAATCAAAAAGCTTATCTTTATGCTATTATTAATTTTTGCATATTAGTTTCCAATTTTTCAAATCGTCAGCATTACATTATTATCAATCTTCATGAGTCTATTTTATTTCTTATTTAATCCATTAGAGGATAAATTAGAGTATTTTAAATAGTTATTTAGTGAAGTTAGTGTTTCTTTTACATTAATTACCATTACAATTCTGGCTTGTGATTTGGAATTAGCATTTTTTCAATACGAAATTAGATAAAATTTTGGATGGGCTTGCATTTTTTTTATGACCTCAATGTTATGTATTTAATTAGGAATTGATGGCTTTTAATAATGGAGGTATCTTTTTAAAAAGTATAAGCTAATAAAAAAATTAGCTTAATCAATAATTGGAGTATTTAAAAGAAAAAAATAAGTTACTGCTCCTTCAAACATTTTCTAATGATTAATATGATATCAAGTTATTGATTATTTATCAAATACTTAAATATATACAACATTAATAAATCGATTAATTTCTTTATAATTGTTTTAATATAGATTAAGCTCAATATTTTCTCCTACAAAATTTCAATTTCTCAAATATTAACCAGTAATTCTAAAACAGATTTACCAGAAATTTAAAAAAAAAATGATTAATACATTAACACAATAATTTGACTATAGTTAACCATAGGAGATTCTATTTCATATTTATTAGCTATTATTATTACAAAATATTTTGAAAATTATTTACTTTTGTAAAAATTATCTCAATTACATTTTATTTATTAGGTTTCTGTTATCACTTATTAAAATAGCCACAAATATTTGTCATGGTGTTCACTTTTTTGAGATTATATCTAATAAATATTATTTATGCTTCTCAGTTATTTAAAATATTAAATAAATACGTATATTTGACATTACTAATAAATTAATTAATCATCAGGTTATTAACATTTTAGAGATTAAAATCTGTTATTAATGAACAGAAATCCATAAAATCCGAATATTTGTTTTATTTTTACTACAATATTATTTGAATGAATAGCACATATTATTGATGTAAATCTAATGAATCAAATATTTTACTTCACTTTTGTAAGATAAAACAATCCTTATTTTTGCAGCCTATATTTAAATTTAAAAATATAATCTACTTTTTAGTATTAAATTTATTTTTTCTTTGCTCTAGTAAAAAGTTTTTAATTTTAAATGATGGATACATTTTTAATCAAAAACAAATTATAAATTGATTTAAGATTTCATTATTGAAAATTTAAGACGCTCCTCAACAAATGGAAATGCTTTATTTTTTAACTCCCTCGAATTTGGTTTTTGAATATAATCATAAAGATAGTTTTTCTTATGCTAATCCTCATTTTAATCATTTTGAAAATATTAAAATAAAAGTTATTCAAATTACATTTACAAGCTAATAAAAAGTAGTTCAAAATCATAAAAAATTGTTTTTAATCAATTAAGAAATTGAGCGCCTTTTTATCAATATGATGATAGTAGTTTTTATTTTAATTAAATTAGAAACATTTCAAATTCACTCCAGACTTGAGAGAGAATGCTTGATTAATAATTATTTTACTTTGCATAAGATTTCCTATTAACAGTATAATAGGTTATTGAAATAAGAGATTAAGAATTTAAATAGTTGTAAGAAATTAATGAATAATGAAAGATTAAAAAAATATATAAATCTATGGCTTTCGAGATTAATTTGTTTTAGCAATTAAGTAGAGATTCAAAATTATTTTTCTTAACCCTTCAAACATGATGGTTGATTATAATTTTTGGCATATATTTTATTATTTTAAATATCAAATTTTTAGGAAATTTGGTATAATCTAGGAGTTTATCTTAAATATTCATCTATAAAATTTATTTTTAAGAGGCCTTATTTTTTCGTTTTCATTAAAATAATTAGAAATGTTGTTATGTATAACTTTTGTTTAAAAATTCTTTATTATTTTTTAGTTTATAACTATATAACAGAATCAACGTTTAATAAACTAATGAATAAAATCATTTAAAATTAGATAATTACATCAAAGACTCATCTTTTGGCTCATGGTTGGATTCTCATAATAAGAATAACTTGATTATTTTCAGGATTGTCTATTATATCTTATTTGGAACGTCTCAGTATTTTTATTCATTCAAGTATTTCAACAGACTATTCGAGGATTTGGTTGGATAGTGAATACGTTATCTTTT